GAAAAGGCATGCTGAATTTTGGTAAACCAAAATTATAATATGCTTGTTTCTATTTAGCCTAAAACTTAATAGGAAAAACTAGGAAATCCAGTAAGTAAGAGGTAGTTTATTTCAGAATAAACTGAGCTTCAGTTCTACCCTGAAATCACTTCATAAGAGCAAACTGCCATTTCATAATTTTGGTTGATTACAGGAATGAAGATAAGAAACATAAGAACTTAGTGATAACTTTATATGCAGTACCAGTACATGTTAGTAATTCATATGATATAATTAGGCAAATATTATGAAACTAAATTCAGCCTGGGGGTTGGATTTTCTTTTTTTAAATTGCCAGTGGGTACATGTGCTTGCCAGAGACAAGGAGAGAAGGAGGGGAAAAAGCACCCCCAATGAGGCCTGGTCACACAATCGCTTCTCCTCCATTCCTCCCTCCTGTCAGGATTCTGGGCATGTACAGACATGCACACATGCAAACACACTCCTGGCATGTTTTTCAAACCACTGAAGCCAGGATTCAAACTGCAGCTGGCCGTGTGGGATCCAGCTCCCTGAACCACTAGGTCATGGGGCCGGCCCAGGGATTTGGATCCTCAAAAGTAATTTTCACATTCACGTTAAAAGCACAAATACTCACCTCCCAAAGATGGCCAATAATAGGTGCGTCTGCCCAGGAGTGCTCTGCGTTCATGCCCATCTTACCATTTTTGAAGACAATAAATGTGAAGGACTTGTCAAACCACCTATGTGAAACGAACGTGTTTATAGAACTTAGATGTTCAGAAAGACAGAAATTACCAAAAACTACCCATGCAGGCTCTTCAAAAAGTTCATGGGAAAGGCTTATTATAAAAAGACTGCACGGATTTCAGTTTTCTCTTCACCAAAATAAATAACTTTCATTCCATTTTCCATAAACTACTGGGGTCCCCTTGCATTTCTTTCAGCCTAAACAAGCTAATTTACTTTGCACCTCTAGCAACGAGCAGCTGCTACTAAATCTGTGCACTGAGGAATAAAGTACGAGCAGGTTGCTAAGTCGCTCATTTCTTTTCTGTACCAAAGATGAACATTCACAGTAGAGACAAGAAAAACAGGACATTCTGTGACAGAGCAAGTCACCTGGGAGGAGATCTGAGGCTGTCCCTGCAGGTTCACACACCCCTCCCTATCTCATCCTTGCCCCCAAACTGCCAGAGTCAGGCCTTCACCTACAGGTAAGGAGGCCCCAGCAGGAGAGCAGCTTCATGACAGTCATGTGACTAGCAAACAGGCCCAAAGCCAACACCCACTTCTGACCCCAGGCCCAGCCCTGCCCATCCTCTCCTGCCTAAGTTTTGGTAACTGGCAGATACTTCTCACCAGCATCTCCACACAAACGTGGTCATCACGGAGAAAGGAGAGTCTCAAACGTGATGGGTCAGCTCTGCGTGCACGTGGACAGTTTCATTGGAGGAAAAAATTAAGTTACATTCTTACGCTGTTATTCCTTAGCAGTATAGATATTTCAGGATGGGCGTCAACCACATGAGATATTTTTTCCAAACTCACAGGCAAACTACCATCTATCAGAGCATAAGAGCAATACCTGTCAAAACATCTGCCGTGCAGCAGAGACTTGGCGTAGCTGTCCATCGAGGTATGTGGGTCTTCCTTTTTATATCCTTGTTCGGTTTCATCTAATGTCACGAAGAAGGCTGCTTTTTCAACGGCATCGAGGGACTGCTTATTTTTCCCACGACTGAAATAGGTCTGGCGACACTTGGCCCAGGGTACTCTGTAGTAAAGATTAAGTCCAGTTAAATCCAGTTGGGCCTCTAACAAACTGGTCCCAGCTCCTTGCATGATGTTTGAAATGACACAATAACATCTCAATAGATTCTTAGACATTTATAAGAGAAAAACTATTGGGTCATCGGAAAAAGTCACGATGCATTTTTGCTAGAAAAACACGTCATGACTTGTGATGACCCAATATATGCTTATGATTTTCTCTGTCTGGTGCTATCTGCCTGCCTGCCTGCCTGCCTGCCTGCCGTACTGCATGGTTTAAAGAAGGGACATTGTCTTCTCACAGCCTTCAGACAACAACACAGAACATGCTGTGTCATTTTTGTTCAGATAATGTTGACTGAATGGAGAACCAGGATGCAGACTGGCCCTGCGAGTGCAGCTGCCAGGGAGCAGAGAGCCAGAGCGAGGTGCTCCCTATCCATCCTTCCCTGCCCTGCCTATGGGGGCCATCCCCAATCCTGCCTCTGGCAGCAGCAATCACAAGAAAAGTGGGAACTCACTGCCCTCATGCCCGGCTCTGCTCCAACCCTTCCCATGTCATCACTGGTATTCTTAGCACTCCCATGTCTACCTTTCAGATGGGGTAACTGAGGCACAGGGAGATTAGCTTATAGCTATTTTGTGGGAGGGAAACCATCTGACCCCTGAAGCCATGCTACAAATGACCAGCTGAGACGCCTGTGATGAGGTCCCCGTGCCCACCTTGCTGCTGCAATGCCTGCTTCCTTCTTGAGAGATGTCCTGACGGTGGCTTCCTCCAACTGCTCCTGGGTGCCTCTCATTTGACCTCCCCGAGCCCTGCTGCCCCAGCCCACTGTTCCAGAGCAGGGCTATCTGACTTCCTGACTCCCATTTTTCCCTAGCTGAGTGCTTAGCTGCAGCAGCCTGTGGCACCAACAAGCCCATATACATAAGTATCCAACATACACCCAGCCTGGGACACAAAGGTGACAGTGATGAGGGCTGGCACTGTCCCCACCTGGAGGACAGCATCAGGGTCTCTCCAGACACTCTGATGGGCATGCGGGAAGTAAGCTCATCTTTGCCTACCACTGCTCTTCCCTGCTTAATCAATACACAGCAAAGCTGAATGAGTCCGGGCTTCCCAGGGCAAATCCAGCTCAGTCCCTCTCCAGCCCCCTTTCTGGGCCTCACTACTTGGACCATGAAAATGCCTCCCTCTACCAGGCCCCTTGTCCACACCAGACCAAAGTATCAACCTTGTTGTCACTCTAATTATGTTACTCCCAGCCAGAAGCAGTCCCTTTAACAGGACTTGGTCAGGGAAGCAAGCCCAGATGGGGACAGGCACCAAGGACCACCCCCGGCCTGGTGCTGTGCCTCAGCCACCTCGGCACACTGCGGCTCCTACCTGCTGTGCTGCCTCACGGCACACAGCTCCTCCCCCTGGAAGCCCACTGTGCTCCTGGCTTGCTCCCACCTTCTGCGGGATGGAGGGCTCTGTGGGTCCTACTCCCAGGGCAAAACGCATCCTGATCTTTGCAGGGGAGTTGCCCATGGCCTCCGTCTCCGCCTCACTCACTAGTGACAGCACACTGTGGCAATGCGGCAGCTCTCTGCTGCGAGTGACACTGCCCCCAGAGACTCAGGGTAACATCTGAAGACATTCTTGGTTATTGCAACTAGGCTGCTCTGACATCCAGCAGGCAGAGACCAGAGACGTAACTCTACATCCTACCCTCAACAACGAATTCTCCTGCCCCGAGTGTGCAGAGAGCTGGCTGGGAAACTGTTGTGTCTGTACACGTTAAATCACAGGGTAGGCAAGAGTCTCTGACTAATTCTCTTTAAACGAGGCAAGGAAATGTAACCCTAACTCGGGCCCTGGTGAAAGCTGTTCTGTTTCCTAAATGAATGCCCAGAGTCAAGTTCAGAACCCTAACTCCTCACTCCTCCATCACGTACCCCTCCATACGTACGGTGTGCCTGTCATGTACAGAGATGGCCAAGGGCCCCTCTGTCTCCTCACTGCTCATGGGACTCTCTGGCTGGGACTGGAACCTGCTACCACAGAACAGAGTGGAGCCACAGTGTCTGGGCACACCCTGGTGTTCTGCGGGTACAGCTCCTGATCAGAAAGAGCAACAAAATATACCTCTCTAACCTCTAGGCATGTGACAGATGACCGCGGGACACACACACACCTATCTCCTGCAGTGAGGGCCGCCAGCTTTGCTTCCCCAGCCTGCGGTTCCGACGGGTCGTCCAGTATCCTCTGCACCTGCTGCTCGATTTCTCGGGGCTTCAATAGCCGCCCATCATGGTAGAGCCAGATCTTGAAGTAGCGCCCCCTGTGGTACACGACGATGTGCTTGCTGTCCTTGATGTGCTGGATGGTGTCTGAGGGGGCGCACAGGTTAGAGACACAAACCCAGAGTCACAGGTCAGAAGGATCTGGGTGGTCAGACCTGACTTTTTAAATATTTTTTCAATCTACTATAAGGCTAGAGGGCACATAGGCTTGCAGGGGAGGCCAGAGAGAGAGAGAAAGTAAGAAAGTACTCCCCCAGGGGGATGGGCACACTGCAGTCCCTTCTCTGCCATTGTCCTCTCAGGATCCTAGGTGCACATGTGCACTCAGTGCGTCTTAAAGCCACCAGTCCCAGACTGAATCACATAGTCAACCCTGTAGGGCCTAGCTGCCCTAAAGCCACACCACGGGCTGGCCCTACACCTAACTTTTTATCAATAAATGGCACATAACTCTTTGCTCATTCAGTTTCACGAGTAACATTCCTTAAGTTTTTAAACAATTAAGTACAATATTGAGTTGAGAATTTTGGAATCAGTCCTACCTACTAAACTCACTTCAGCTACTCATTGGATAAATGTTCTTAGACATATTAGTCAACTCTAAGTCTCAATTTTTCTCATCTGTAAAATAGAGAAAATCTCTTTTTTTAAGAGATTTTTGTTATAGGGCATGCATGCTTGCTAGAAAGACAGAGAGACAGAAAGCAAGAAATCACCCCCGAGGGGAGATGTCCATGCCTCAGTTCCTTCTCCTCTCGGGATTTTGAGCAAGCATACACAGGTGTCCAGTGCAAGACTCAAGCCTGTGGGTCTGGGATGGGCGGTCATGCGGGAGTCCAGCAACATAACCATTACGCCATCTGCTGGTCCCCAAGATAATACATCTTTCAGGTAGTTGTGCAAAAAAAAGATACCACATATGATTCATATATTTCATACACAGAAAGTATTCAAATAGTGTAGTTATTTTATATTAGTTAATTACAAATGGGTAGCTTAGAAAATGTCCTGAGGACAAATGTGGAAAATTACTAAAACAAAAGAGTTGGTTATTTGTTTTGTTTTTTAAAGAGTTACTTGTTTAAGTTCACTTATTCATTTATTTATTTTAATTTGACCAGAGAGAAACACAAAGAGAGACGGAAAGTGAGAAAGCAAGCCACCAGGTCCGGGACTTGAACCATAATTGGCCATGTGGGAGTATCCAATGCCTTAACCACCACACCACCTGCTGGTCCCCAAAAGAGCTATTCTATAAAACTCACTAAAACAGAGAGAAATTTTAAAAGACTTAAGCATCACAGGAATGTGATTAAGTAAATTCATTCCATGAATATTGACCAAGTCCTCCTAAGCACCATTCAGTGACAGCTAAACAAGATAGTCTTGGGAGAAGATGAGACAAATAATTAAAAACATGCCAAGCGTTACAAGATGCTAAAAGCCATGTGACAATAGGGCCCTGGAAATATGAGAAAGCCCTGCCACCACCCACTAAGAAGTAACATTTAAGGAGGCCCAGCCAGGGGCTGGACAGTGGTCCTGCAGTAAAATATGACAAGATAGACCCATATTCGGGGGGTCTGATGACCTCCCTGCTCAGATTGGGCACAAGTGTGTCCACGATCTGGGGCTGCGGCTAGGGAATGCAACGTTAAAACCTTGCCAGAGGAACCAGCAGTCAGCGTAATGGCTAGGTCACTGGACTCCCATGTAGTCGACTGCGGTTTGCGTCCCGAACCCGGTGGCTTAAACTCACATCGGGCGTGTGTGCGTGCGTGCCCAAGATCCCAAGAGGAGGATGGAGGAGAAGGGATTGCGGTGTGGCCATCCCCCCGGGGGGTGATTTCTAGCTTTCTGTCTCTCTGTCTCTGTCTTTCTGGCAAGTGCATGCGCCCTATAGCAAAAAAACCTCTCCAAAAAAAAAAAAAAACCAACCCTGCCAGAGGTGCTGTATCTATGTCTGAAAGTCTCTCTTTTCCTTTTCCCGCTTCATGAAATACATATATAACTGAAAAAACAAGCAAATAAAAAACCCAGCCAGATAAAGCACACAGAACATTAACATATAATGCTTGACCTCATTTTTAAAATGCTTAGCAAACCAAGGATAGAGAAAAACTTCCTTAACTTGCTCAAGGATTTCTACCAGAAGGGTGGAGCCAACATACATTTGAAGTCTTAGCCTTAATGTCAGAAATGAGACAAGAATACATACCATGACCAACTTATATTCAATATTATACCCAAGATCCTAGCCAGGACAGTAAAATAAGAAAAAAGAAATAAAATATAAAAGGGAACTACCAAAGTTGTCAATTTGTACTTATGACTAAGTAGAAAACTGAAGAAAATCTACCAGCTATTTAAATAAATATGAATACAGTTAGGTACAAGTTCAATTTACATTCCTATATCCCAGGGTATAAGCTAAATCATGCTCCCTTCTCCCTGTTCATATATTGAAATGCATCCCCACCTCTAATCCATATCTCAGACTGTGTCCATATTTACAGATAGCATCTTTGGGCCAGCAGGTGGTGTGGTAGTTAAGAAGGCCAGATCCCACATGGCCAACTGTGAGGTTTGAGTCCTGAACCTGCCAGTTGGAAAGATAAACTGGGGATGCACGCATGCCCCAAATCCGGAAAACAGAAATGGAGAAAGGATTGGGACCATTCTCCAAGGATAGTGCTTTCCCCTCCCACTCTGGCAAGTTCAATAAATAAATAAATAAATTAAAATAAAATAAGACAGAGAGAGGCAGTTAAGGCAAAATGAGGTCATTAAGACGGGCTTTAAGCCCATGTAACTGTTGTGCTTATAAGAGATTAGGACAGACACAGACAGTGGGATAACCAGAAGACACCAGGAGAATATACCATCTACAAGCCAAGGAGAAAAACCAGAGGTGCCACCCTGTGACACCCTGATCACGGCCTTCCAGCCCCCAGCACTGAGCACCTGTTCCTTTTGCTGCTCAGTCTATGGTATTTGTCTGGAAAGCCCTAAAAATAATGAATGCACTCAGCAGTGACCTGAAAATACTTCAAAGGAACAACAAAACAACAAATCACATGGGAAACCCTTATGAAGACAAGTGTAACACTTTGTTAAAAATTATTAAAAAAAAAAAAAAAAGAACAGAGAACTAAGCCATGTTCATAGGCAGTTAGACTTGATACTGGACAATGATAATTCTCCTCCATCTATTATAGTTCAAGGCAATTCCAGTAGGAGACTTTCATGGGACTGACAGGCTGATCCTAAACTACGTATGGAAGAGGAAAGGGCCAGGACAGTCTTGAAGAAAGAAGGATTTGCTTTACCAAACACCAAGATTTATTATCACATTTAAACAGTTTGGGGCCAGCAGGTGGCATGGTGGTTAACGTGTTAAGACTCCCACATGGCCCACCGCAGTCCGAGTTCAGCTTACTTTCTCACTTTTTCTTTCTCTGTCTCTCTCTGGTGAGTGCACACACCCTATAGCATATTTAAATATATATATATATGTAAAACAAAACTGAATAAATAATTCTTAAAAAAATGTAAACAGTTTGGTACTGGGACAAAATAGACTAAGAAAATAAAGAGCTTAGAAGAAAGAAGAGCCAGGTCAGCCCGTGGTTAAGAGTGCTGGATCCCACATAACCAAATGCATGGTTTGAGTTCTATACTTGGTAGCTTGAGAAACATGCCAAGCGTGTGTGTGTGTGTGTGTGTGTGTGTGTGTGTGCCCAAAATCATAAGAGACTGGAGAAAAAGGAACTGCGGTGTGACCATGTGCCACTGGGGGGAGTACTTTCTTGGTTTCTCTCTCTGTCTCTTTCCAGCAAGTACATGCGTCCTCTGGCAAATATTTTTAAAAGAGAGAGCATGAAAAAGGCAAGAATCAGCTCTACACATGCCTAAAGGCTGTATACCAAATGGGTGGGGAGAGGGGGATGAACTATGATTTCTTACATGGGGCCAGAACAGTGGTTTATCCATGGGGAAAAAGACAGAATGAGACACGTATCTCACAGTGAACGCAAAAATCAATTCCAATCAGATTGAAGAGCTATAAAGCAATGAGAAAGTTAAATGTTTTCAGGGAAGGAATACATTTCTTAGGACACAAAGGAAGGTTGGTCCTGTGGCACAGTGGTTAGGTACTGTGTGGAGAAAGCGGGATCCCACACAGCTGCACAGGGTATAGGTCATGGCCCATTGGCTTCACACCGGACCTTTTGTACATGCACACCCAACATCCTGAGGAAATGGAGAACTGGAGGAAAAAGGATTGCAGTGTGACTAGGTCCTATCTGATAAAGTCAGTATTACCCCCAATTTTAATGTTAATGTACATTACTATTAAAAACTTCCAAGAAGGCCAGCCCCATAGCATAGCAGTTAAGCCGTGTGTGTAGGGAGCTGGATTCCACATGGCTGGCTGACCATGGTTTAATTCAGGCCCCAGTGGCTTGAGTAACATGCTAGGCATGTGTGGGCGAGTGTCTAAAATCTTGATGGAATGGAGGTAAGGAGGAAAAAAGACTGCAATGTGATTGCACTCCACTGGGGGGTGCTTTCTCTTGCTCTCGCTCGCTCGCTCTCTCTCTCTCTAGCAAGTGTACATGCCCTCTGATAGTTAAAAAATAAACAAATTTGGGACCAGCAGGTGGCATGGTGGTTAAGGTGCTGGACACTCCCACATGGCTGACCGTGGTTCGAGTCCTGGACCTGGTGGCTTGCTTTCTCACTTTCCCTCTCTCTCTGTGTCTCTCTCTGGTCAAACTAAAATAAATGAATGAATAAATAAAATTTTAAAAAGTAATTTTTAAATAAATAAATAATAAACAAACTTGGGCCAGTAGGTGGTGTGGTGGCTAAGAGGGCTGGATCCCATGTGGTTGACTGAGTGGTTGAAGTCATGGACCTGGCGACCTGAAAAACATGCCAGGCACGTGTGCATGTGTACCCAAAGTCCTGAGAGGAAAATGAAGGAGAGGAAAGGATTGCGGTATGGCCATCCCTGCTGGACTTCTCACTTCCTACCCCCCTCTCTATCTGTTGCATGTGTACGCACATGCCCTAAAGCTAAAGCTAAAAATAATAATAATAATAAAATTAAAATAAGTTTTAAAACTTTTTGTGAGACAAGTGGGCACCAAGAACTGAAAAGACAAATGGCAAACTGGGAGAACAGCCGTATGTAACTGTGAAAAACTGACTATCTCGTGGCCCGGCCGTGGCGGCACAGCAGCATACAATACTCGGCAATGCTGAAAGTCCTAGTGCGGGTGGCCATTGCGCATGCCTGTCATCCTGGCTGGATGGAAAGGCTAGGGGCAGGAGCACAGGTGAGGCCCTCATAGTGCCAGTCTTTCTCTCTCTCTCTCTCCCTCAGGAGCCCCCTGTGCCTTCATCAGGGCCCTGGGTGACTCCTTCCCAGCAGGGAGGCACTGTTAGAGAGTGGAGAGAATTTACTTTGCTAGCTTCCAAATAGCAAGTCAACAGTTCTAGTATTACTTTTGGGGAGTTTATGTTTGTGTGTATGAGTGAAAGTATCCCCCAGTAGGGCATGTTCCACCATAATCTTTTTTCTTCCATGTCTCCATCGCAACTGGATTTTTGGCATACACATCCAACTGATGTGTTTTTTCAAGCCACCAAGGCCAGGATTCAAACTGCGGTCAACCATGTGGGATCCAGCTCCCTTAACCACTGCCTTACGGGTCTAGTGCCCAGCACTGTTTCTTGCCAACTCATCTATATTTCATAATGTGTCTAGCTACGGGGCAGGGGAACTCCAAAATGCAGCAATGAGAGAACAGAGGCTTATTTTTCAGCCAGAAATGCCACGCATTGTGAAAGCAGGGAATAAACATGGGGTGAGTTTCTAGAGAACCTTTGAACGTGGTATCAGAGAGAGGGAAGCATCCACCTGGGAACACCCACACAGAGATGGCTTTTGTGCAAGGGCACAGCAAGGGGGCCCAGTGACACCACAGTGTGACGCTGAGTGAGGGGCTCCCTCCCAGAAACGTTGGCCTGCAACTGCACACTCAAAGCGCTGGATGAGCTCAGGACCGTCTACACTTTATACAGATTCAGAAACTGAAATGAGGCTCGGATGTGAGCAAAATGTCCAAGGAGTCCAGATGAAGAAACAGAACTATTTCTAATGAGGCCTGGAAGAATAGTCTATAAATAGCCTTCGCCAGAGGAGAAACACAAACCTGGAAATCATCCACTGTCCAGGCCTAATAAATACAAAAGGAAATTCAACAGATGGAAAGTTCGCCCTCCTCCGATCCCAGGAAAGGTTGGCACAAGTCAGTCTGGCCCCTCAGACTCCTCCTCTGACGTGTCCTAATTCTGAGCGTGAGTCTGGGGGAAGCCTCACTCACCTGTTTCTTCTCCAGGGATCCGAGAAGTATTAAACATTCGCTCCCACTGAGCAGAACAAAGTGGAATGGTGGATCCCAAAAGACGAATCTGTAATAAAAATACATTTTAAATAAACAAAATTCCACAGGAAAAAAGGGAGCGAATGAAAACCACCTGTTTATTTAAACACTGTTTGTTGCGTGTACACACCGCATGGTCTCACTTCGCCTTTTCCAGGGGTCCCCTGGGACGGTTCACTGGGCCAACTTGCTGAACTATACCAGGGTACAACTTCCGAAGAGTTACTTCCTAAATTACACATTTGAATGAATTATTTATAAACTGGCACTTAACCACACAGAGAGTTCAGGGAGAAATGCTTTGTTTATCCTAAGAATCTCATCAGCAGTTATTACTTTGCTTCGAAAACAAACAAGGGTTTCTTTGAAGGGCAAATCATACAACCTAAGGACAACAAAGATCTGGTTTAGGATACACAGGAGAATTAAATATCAAAAAAATGATGCTGGGCGAAAGAAACTAGACCCCCCCCCAAAGAAGAATACATGCCATATGATTACATTTACATATAACTTTGGGCACTATGAACTGATCTGGAATGACAGATCAGGAGGGCAATGGGGAGGTGAGGAAGGGGTCGGGGAGAGATCACAGAGGGACAGAGCGGACTTCTGGGGTGACCAGTGGATTCACTCTCTTTACTGTGGGGATGGTTTTGCCCACGTGTAGATTTGTCAGAACTACGTGTGACTTCACCCACATGCAGATTTACCAAACCGTACTTTAAATGTGTCAATAATACCTCAGCAAAGATGTTTTAAAGTAATTTTGTAAAAATTTAACCAGAGGGATCAGCAGATGGCATAATGGTTATGTTGCTGGACTCCTGCATAGTCAACCGTGGTTCGAGTCCCAGACTTGACTGCTTCAAACTCACACTGGACACATGTGTGTGCGTGCCAAGATACCGAGAGAATGGAGGAGAAGAGATTATGGAGTGGCCAATCCCCCTGGGGTTGATTTCTCACTTCTGTCTCTTTGTCTCTGTCTTTCTGGAGAACGTGCATGCCTTATAGCAAAAATCTCTCTTAAAAAAATATTTAACCAGAGGGCACATGCACTTACAGGAGAGAGAAAGGGAAAGTGAGAAAGCATTCCCCCATGGGACATGCTCAGACTACAATCCCTTCTCCATTTTCCATCCTTCCAGGATATTGAGCATACACACACACACACCTAGCATGTTTTTCAAGCCACCCACTCCAAGACTGGAACCATGCAGTCAGCCGTGTGGGATCCAGTCACTTTAACCACATACCCCCGTCTGGGCCAGAATTTTATTCAATTGCTAGAGGGCACGTGCACCTGCCAAAGAGAGAAAGAGAGTACACCACCCCAGTGGGGACTCATGGGGGTGTGGTCAGGCCACAATTCCTTCTGCTCCATTTCTTCATGATATTGGGATTTTGGACACACACATGAATGAGCCCAGCATATTTTTCAATCTCCCAGGGGTTGGAATTTGAGCCCTGTTTGACCATGTGGGAACTGCTCCCTTAGCCACTGAGCTAAGGGCCAGCCTTAAAAAATTGCTTTAAAAAACATTTACATACTGGTTTGATTTCCTCCCGGTCCAGTTTGCGTCTGTAAAGTAGGATGGCATGAATAGCGTTGCCTGCTCTTGCTGCCTGAATGTGAGTCGGTATGATATACAGCAAATCCTGAAAAAAAACCAGGGAGAATGTTCACATGAACAGAGAAGCTGATTTTAATACATTGCACAGCACCTTCACGATGATGTTAAAATTACATCTGCTATGCTAGATGTTAAACTGAAATTCAATTTTCTGTACTTTGTCGGTTTTACTTTACTAATGTTTTATAAGAACAGAGGTCCCCGGGAACCAGCAGTTAGTGTAATGGCTATGTCGCTGGACTCCGACGTAGTCGAATGTGGTTCGCATCCTGGACTCAGTGGCTTATAACTCACGCTGGGCGCGTGTGTGTGCGTGCATGCCCAAGATCCCGAGAGGAGAATGGAGGAGAAGGGATTGCGGTGTGACCATCCCCCCTGGGGGGTGATTTCTCGCTTTCTGTCTCTATGTCTCTCTCTGTCTGTCTGGCGAGCACACGCGCCCTATAGCAAAAAACCTCTCCCCCCCAAAAAAAAAAAGAACACAGGTCCCCAAGTATTCTTGGGCTATTAAAGACAACAGTGTTTCACCACAAAAGCCTCATATAAAAAGCACAGAAAGTAGAATAAAACCCAGAGAGGAATTAGACAATTAGAACATTTTCTGAATGAGAAGTAACCCAGGTTAAAATAATCATTTATATGCAGGACCAGCAGATAGCATAATGGTTATGTCTCTGGACTCCCATGTAGTCAACTGCAGTTCGAATCCTGGACCTGGTGGTTTAAACTCACGCCAGGCATGTGTACGTGCCCAAGATCCTGAGAGGAGAAGGGAGGAGAAGATATTGTGGCGTGGCCATCCCCCCTGGGGGTGATTTCTCACTTTCTGTCTCTCTCTGTCTTTCTGGTGAGCACGCACGCTCTATAGCAAAATCCCCTCCAAAAAAGAAAAAAAAATAATTTATATGGAGATGTGGCTGTAACTTTCTGAAGTTTGAGACATATTTCTATGGTCTACATTTTCCTTAACTGCAAGAAAAAGCTGAGGAACACATGTCTAAATGACATTTATGAAGCATGTATGTGCAGGACAGGTCCTTGATCTGGGAAGTGCCTCTGTCTGTAGGAAACAAACACAAAAATCTCCAGGAAGGAAAAGGCACCCCGTGGTGCAGGGAAGAGTGGTTCTGTAAGGCGCACTGACGACTTTTCTCTGTGACAATTTCAGACAGGGAGGGGAGGGGGTGTTAAAAGGAAAAGAGGAAAATTCTTAAAAACAGAAAGAAAAAGCAAATGATAAATAAGGAGAAATAAGGAAAAGAACAAATAAAAGGAAGTAAAGAACAGAAAGGGAAAGACGATGAATTCTGTTCACCAGATATTAAACAGCAGCTGAGAACCCAAACTGAGAGGCCTTCTAACAACCATCAGCGTTTCAAAAGACATGGAAACTACTCTCAAATACGCAACCCTCTGGCATCTTAGCATACAGAAGGCTCACACACACACACATCGGTGGCAAATTCTAGGTCAGCCCATACTGTTCCTGAGCTCTGGTGGACACATGAACCTGTAGGGCTACTGCAGCACTATGTTCAGAGCTAAGTCACAAGAGAGCGGTTACAGAGACACATGCAGTACAGGACACCTACAGTACAGAGGCACATGCAGTACAGGGACACGTGTAGTACAGGGACACGTACAGTACAGGGACATGTGTAGTACAGGGGCACGTACAGTATAGGGACACGTACAGTACAGGGGCATGTACAGTACAGGGGCACATGTAGTACAGGGGCACGTACAGTATAGGAGCAAGTACAGTACAGGGGCACGTACAGTACAAGGGCACGTGTAGTACAGGGGCACGTACAGTACAGGCACACACGCAGTACAGGCACACGTGCAGTACAGATACACATTCAGTACAGGCACACGTGCAGTACAGGCGCACATACACATAAGGCACAGACACACAGACAGTACATGTACATGTACAGCAAGAAACTTCCATCTGCCCTGAAAGTAATTTTTAAGAGAATTCTTTTAAATTTATTATTATTATTATATTTTCCAAGATAATGAGAGAGACAGAGAGAGGAAAAGTGAGAAAAGATACCACCAGGTCTAAGACTTGAACCGTGATTGGCCATATTCAGCGCCTTTAACCACGTCACCACCTGCCAGCCCCTGCTCTGGATGTATTTTTGAAGTCCACACTTCTCTGCAGTAGCTCAGGGCCCTTGAGTGGCTGCACAAATACAGAAGGATGTGCACACGGCTCTCTGGCCTGGAAAGCTGGCCCAGGTCCCTCCCAGACTCACCATTGCGTAGTAGTTGCTGTTCACCATCAGCGGCCCTCGTCCTCGGAGGTAGATGTATTCCTCCCACCAGTCACTCACCTGGTGGTGTAAACACGAGACAAACCGACAGGCTTAGCGAGAGCCGCGGTGAGAACTTTAGTGCTTTTTGTCAGACACTGCAGCATCTAGTGGGCCCAGAAAACGACAGTCCCATCTAGACGGAATGCAAGAAGGCCAGAAAACTAAGGTGTCTTAAGTCAAGGCATAACTAAAAGGGAGATCGCCTTCATTTTATAAGTGGTTAGAAAAAGACCAAATGAAAAGTGAGAAACGTTTGACTGCTAACGTTTTCACCACCAACACTATCCAAAACTGCTTAACAGGCTGCATCTCTTCCTGCCTCCCACTGTCCCTCAAGAAGCCACCATCTCAATCTAGCTCTGGAGTAAGAGCTTGACACTAACACTGAGGCCAGCATGTGCAATTTTTGTCCCCCAGAACGACTGTCCTGAGAGCACCCAGCAAGCTCAGCCTCATCACACCCAGAACTGCTGTTTATGATCTTCGGGCCAAGGGACTCTTATACTTTTTACTTTGTGAAGAATATCTATATAAGGGGTCTTCAAAAAGTTCACTGAAAATGCTTGCTATGAAAAATAATCCATGTATGGATTTCAAAATGTTTGTACCCAAATAAAGTCAGAGTTTAATTCCATTTTCCACAAACTTTTTGAATTTCCTGTGTACACACAGAACCGTGCACATTTAAGTGTATGCAATATTTCCAACACACTTGCATAGCCAGCGCCTGTTAGAAACAACATGACAGGCCAAGGCCTCTCATGCTCCCTCCAGGCACCCACTCCCCACCCAACCAAGGTGCCTACTTCTCACACCACTGCTGGTTCCATGTGGGTCACAGTAACACCGTCTCTTCCATGTTAGTTGCTCCTCAAAACTAAGACTCCCCTTTCTTGTTTTAACCCCCTCCTTGTTTTGCCGTCTCAGTAGTGGACGTTCAGCTGGGTCACAGAGCAGACAGCATCGGCTGAGATCCTTCCTGGGAGGCAATGCCAATGAGAGCCTGAGGCACATTCAGCCCAGGGAGGAGGTCATCCCTGCCCTACTCTGCACATCAACATCCCGACCTCTGACCAGTGAGCTCAGAACTGACGGCCCTGGAATCAAGAGGAAGCAATGCAGAGGACAAGAAAATGGGCTGGGGCTGCATGTTACTGCTACAGGAGAGTCAGCTCCCAGCAGGGACCCGGCAGGAGGGCCAAGAGGATCTGCACATGCAAACCACAGCCTTACGCCCAGTGCAGGATGCAAATCCTCCAACCCTTGTATCCACCTGCAATCAGGGTCAGACTGTCTCCACAACTACATGCCAGTCCTAACACGAGTGCCCCCGTGCTCAAAGGGAGGGCCATCATGCTAACTTCCTACTGGTGCTAACGTGTGATTTTGGCTACTCTAAACTCATTTCAGCTGACTTATCCCTACCCCACAAAATTAGCATTTTTATACAGCAAAGTTTCATCAAGAAAGATAGCATGCATTGGGACCAGTAGTTAGCGTAATGGCTATGTTGCTGGACACCCATGTAGCCAACTGCGGTTTGAGTCCCCGACCCAGTGGCTTAAACTCACGCCGGGCGTGTGTGCATGCGTGTCCAAGATCCCAAGAGGAGAATAGAAGAGAAGGAATTGCAATGTGGCCACCCTCTCAGGGGGTGCTTTCTGTCTCTCTGGCAAGACAGAGAGACAAAACAAAAAAGAAAGAAAGAAAGAAAGAAAGAAAGCAAGCAAGCAAGCAAGCATGTATACTCACATAATTTGTAGCCCACCAGGATTTTAACTTCAAATACCACTGCAATTTTGGTCCAAGATTGACAGCAAAGTCTTGCGCAAGTGCTGTCATCCGTTTGAAGTCTCCTTCCTGCATGAGAGGCTTCACCGAGTCTAGGTACTGAGGGTATCAAAGAAAACATCCATCAGGTTACAGCACGTGCATCGGAGCCGAGTTTGCTCACCCGTGTCTTAGAAAAGGCTGCAACACCTTTTTCAAAGGTTAGAAAAAGCCTCACTAGTCCTCAGACAAGTTAAATAATGCTACATGTAGGTTAAGGATAATTAGACTAAACGTTTTCACCCTTTATTGGCTTGAAAAGTCCAAAGTCCCACATCACCAGCAAAATCACCAAAATAAATTCTGAAGTGACAATGTCACTGGTTAATAAGGACATTTTCATGTTACCTGGCCCTTAAGGAAAGATCTGTCCTAACGTAAGCTACACGACCTGAGATGGTGACCCTGAAATGGAGTGGGGCAGTGCTGAGAGCCAAGTGCTGGGGTTAGGCAGATGCTCAGGCAGCCAAATAGGGAGGAGGTGCTGAAATGATGACAGGGACAGGGAAGGTCATGGCCAAGGTCAGGGCTCTGGGTACAGAATTCTCAGCCTTCCTCTCTCCCTACCCTCACAAACACCGCTCTGGTTGCAAAGCTTCTCGGTGAGGCCAATCAGAAGTACAGTGGTTAAGGTGGCTGGATTGCACGTGGCCACCTGCGTGGTTCAAGTCTCAGACACAGCAGCTTGAAAGGCGGGCTGGGCATGTGTGTATGCATGCCCAAAGTCCCGAGAGGAGAATGGAAGAGAAGTGACTGCAGGGTGGCTACACTTCCTAGTGAGTGTTTTCTCCTCTCTCTCCATCTTTCTCCAGCAAGTCCATGTGCCCTACAGGAAAAACTAACAGAAAAGAAGAAACGAAAGGTTCTCAGATATAAATGATCTATGATTTATCAGATGTTCTAATTGGACAAGGTGTTTGTCTGCTGTAAAAATAGCTTTGAGACATCCGTGATTTCTAGAGCCCCTCCCTGTACATTTAAGGGAAAGCCGTATTTCCTAAAAAGGAAGGACCAGCTAGTCCTTAAACATTTTGAGGCATATTCAAAGTAAAATGAGGTTAATGAAACTGAAACTCACACTCTGATCATGCTGTGGCTGAACACTGAGCTCCAGAAGACAGTGAATCAGCCAAGCCTCTCACCTCACCCCACCCTGTAACGGGGGGAGCTCCAATCAGAACTCCCACGTGGGGGGGCGAAGACAGAGGAACAGAGAAGAGACAGAACCTGCTGAGTGCAACTGAGCCTGGGTTCAACCCTAAGGCCTAGAACTTTCCTGCTTATGGTTTTTAAAATGGGACCTCAGAACAAGGAAAAACCAGAGCCCCATCCATACCGGTTAGATTACAGTTTGGTGTTTTTTCAACCAAGTAAATAGAATTAACTTATGACCAGATATTCACTTCCAGCTGCATATCCCAACAACTGAAAACAGGCACTCAAACAAAAACTTGTACACGGATGCTCATGGCAGCGTTACGCTCCATGACCAAAAGGTGGCAACAGCTCAGACCATGAATGAACAGACTGTAATCTCTCCTTAATGCGGGATATCATTCAGCCATTACAAAGGAATGAGAGTGGAGGCCTGCAGGTGGCACTGGGGTAAGGCATTGGACTCCTACATGGTCGACCACAGTTTGAGTCCCGGACCTGTTGGCCTGCTTTCTCACTTTCCCTCTCTCTCTTTCTGGTGAGTGTGCACACCCTGTAGCAAATTTTAAAAATAATGATAATAGGGGGAACCAGCAGTTAGCATAATGGCTATGTCGCTGGACTCCCATAGTCGACCGCGGTTCGCGTCCCGGACCCGGTGGCTTAAAACTCACGCCGGGCGCGTGTGCGTGCGTGCCCAAGAGCCTGAGAGGAGAATGGAGGAGAAGGGATTGCGGCGGTGCCATCCCCCCTGGGGGGTGATTTCTCGCTTTCTGTCTCTAATGTCTCTCTCTGGCGAGCGCACGCGCCCTATAGCGAAAATCTCTCCAAAAAAAAAAATAATAATAATGATAATAAATCAAATGAAATTAACTCATTTTTTTAAAGTAGGGGGGGAAAAATCACATTAGGCACATGTGTATGCATGTCCAAAATCCCAAGGAGAATGGAGGAGAAAGGACTGAGGCATGGTCATCCCCCTGGAGGATGATTTCTTACTTCCCCCACTGTCTCTTTCTCTCTCAGGCCAGTGCATGTACCCTATGGCAAAAACCTTTTTAAAAAAAGGGATGAGAGTGGTCTTGCCAGTTAAGGCGTTAAGGCGGCTGGATCCCACGTGGCCAAATGAGCAGTCTGAGTCCTGGACCTCATGTCTTAAAAACACACTGGGCACATGTGCATGTGTGCCCCAAATCCCAGGAGAATATAGGAGACGGGATTATGGCATGGCTATCCCTTGGAGGTAAGAATAAAGGGACTAACACATGCTAGGACAGAATGAGCCTTAAAAACATGATGCTGTGTGAAAAGAGCCACACAAAAAAGGTCTCATATTGTACGATTTCATTTATATGAAATATCTAGAATAGCAAAGCCATAGAGACAGAAAGTGGATTAGTGGTTGCCAGGGGCTTAGGGGTGGGGTGGGGAGGGAAGAATGGGAAGTGACTGTTTAATGGGCACAGGGTTTTTTAGGTGATGAAAAAGTCCCAAATTTGGACAGCAGTGATGGCTGCATGACACGCTGAAGGTACTTAATGCCACTGAATTAGACACTACAGAATGGTGAGCACGTTTGTGTATATTTTACTGTGTTAGAAATAAAAAAAGGAAGGAAAAAATAGAGCTGCTCACTCGGATGTAGGGTGCTTTTGAGGGTAAAATGAAATGTGTTGGCTGTGGGTGTTGTCAGACGGGTCTTACAGGCGGTGTCTTGCCCTCAGGGGTCCAGCTTTGATATGGGAGGAGACGTCAACAAGCAGCCTGTCCTTAGGCAGGGGCCATGACTGCTCCCCATGTAGCTGTGCCAGGGTCATCGCAGAGTTACTAATGACTCTCTGGTGACCTTCACAACCAGATCAAAAGTAGCCACCACCTAGTGAGGCTGGATGGACAAACAAAAGGTGGTCTTCCATACAACAGAACTATTATTTAGTCATAAAAAAAGAAAGACAGGGCCAGCAGGTGACGTGGTGGTTAAGGTGGCTAGATTCCACATGGTCAACTGAGTGGTTCGAGTTCTAGACCTGGCAGCTTGAAAAACACACGGGGCACATTTGCATGCATGCCCAAAAGCACGAGAGAGTGGAGGAAAGGGGATTGCAGCATGGTCATCCCCCTGGGAAGGGTGCCTTCTCACTTTCTCTCTGTCTTCCCCCTTCTCTCTCTCTCCAGTGAGTGCAAATGCCTTATAGCAAACAAAAAATTAAAAAAGAAAGACACACATGTGCATACATGCCCAAACTCCTGAGAAGAGATGAAGAAGGGACTGTGGTGTAGCCGTATTCCCTGGGGGATGTTTTCTTACTTTCTCTTTCTGTCTGTATATCTCTGGCAAGTGCATGCACCCCTATCAAAAAAAAAAAAAAAAAATCTTTTCTTTTTTTTTAAAGGAGGAATTTTTACTATAGGGTGCATGTACTTGCCGGAGAGACAAAGAAAGACAGAGAGACAAAGTGAGAAATCACCGCCTGGGGGGATGGCCTTGCCACAATCCCTTCTCCTTCATTCTCCTCTTGGGATTTTGGACACACACGCACATGGGCCCAACATGAGTTTTAAGCCTCCAGGTCCAGGACTCGAACCAAGGTCAACTATGTGGGAGTCCAGCGACATTAACCATTATGCCATCTGCTGGTCCCAAAAGAATTTATTTTTTAAAAAAAGAGGACCTTCTGACACATATTACATTATGCTAAGTGAAAGAAACTAGACATGAAAATAAAAATACTTTATGAGTCCACTTATGCAAAGTCCTAGAATAGGCAAATTCATAGATAGGAAGTAGAATGGTGGTTACCGTGGGTGGGGGAGGGGAAGGGAGAATGGCTGCATAATGGTTATAGAGTTCCTATTGGGATAACTGAAAAGTTTGAAAACTAGAAAGCGGTGACAGTTATGGAACTCTGTGAATATGATTAATGCCACTGAACTTACACTTAAAAACAGTTCAAATGGTAAATTTTATCTTATATATACATTTCCTGCAATTTAGAACAATAACATAAATATACCAGAAGCCACAGCATTGGACACTTTAAATGAGTGGACTGAATGATACAGAAATATCTCCAAAAGCTGTTAAAAACAAGTCTCCGAGCTTTTCTTCTATGAAACACGAGACCTTTTTAAAAACATCTAAGATGCAGTGACACATTAAGAAAAAAAAGATTCCTATAACAATCTTACGAGGTACATTATCAGAACGAACATAGTCAAACGGTGTTAAAGGAGTTGACAGTAAGTAAGACATAAGCAGAGTGTGAGGTTGAAGCCACACCCACCCTGTCTACGGTGTCTTTGACGGCTGGGACAGGCAGGCGAGGCAGAGATGTCTGGAAGCTGTACAACATGGGTTTTCGGCCGGAAAAGATCTTGACCATTCCCTAAAGAGAAAAAGTTGCAGTTTTAAAGATGAGCCCATGTTAAACTGAAGCCAGTTCTCAATCGTATAGAACTTGTCAACAATTGACTGATTTTCTGTGGGGATTTATTTTTCCTCTCGTCTGTTTTCTACCTCTACAATTGCAAGCCCTGGTGAACATGTAAAGTCCTCCTCCCCTCAAAATAAAATACCAGGTTAAGTGCTGGCCCCATTGCACAGCAGTTAAGCTCTGTATGGAGAAGCCTGGGTCCCACATGGCCAATCAGAGTTTGAGTCCTGGCCCTAGTGGCTTGAAAAACACTGGGCAAGCACGTGCATACCCAGGATCCTGATGGGCTAGAGCTGTGGCAGGAAAGGGACTGCAGCATGACCAGGACCTCTTGGAGAGCGCCTTCTCTCTCTCCCCTTTCTGACACACGCACTTTCTGACATTAAAGTCTGACCGAAGCATTGAGATGCTGCTGCCCATGTTTGGGTCTATCCGGTTGCAGCTTGATAGCGCTTGGGCACATGGGGCAAAACTTGGTGAGGCCCTTGGTTTAGGGACTGGCTCAGGCTCTGGGCTGAGGTCCCTGGCCTTCAAGTTAGCCCCAGGGGAAGCCCTGCAACCCGTTTGGGTATTATAAACCTCACAGGAAGCACACTTGCCTACTCTGGACCCTTGTTTAGGCTGGATGACCTCAGCTTGGTTACCGATGATCTCAAGACTGAAACAAAGGACTTCCCGTGGCTCATGGTGTGGGGAGTGGCACGTCTTGGTGCTGAAGAGCTTCAGGACCAGCTCGACATCGGCCACAGATGCCATCTGAGCGAGCAACCTGTCTGGGAAACTGTCTCTGAATCTCTTCTAGGTATCAAAATCTACTTCTCTAGAAGTCCAAAAGTTCACATCCAAACGATAGCAAGCTACTAGTTCAGGAGAGCGTGAAGGGTGTGAGGGCAGCACCAAGAAGACCAGCTTCTCTTACAAGCAAGTCTCTGGGAGCTCAGGGCAGCTGGCCAGCCCACAGATGGAGCTGCCACATTGCAACTGAGCAGGATAGCCCAGGTGGCCCAACCTCAGGTGCAGAAAGGGAGCCAGGCTCCACACCTGTCTCATGAGTGCTAAAAAATCCAAGAAACAGCCCCACTGGGGAAAAGAGGTTAAAGAAAATCTCATGATGACGGGTTCATTAGAATCATCTGGGCCACTTCACAAAAACATGGGTTAGTGTACATGGGAAAGTTCCAGATTCATGTCTAGAGATCTCCCCGAGGACACCAGGCACACACATGCCCAAGGGAAAGTTCCAGATTCATGTCTAGAGATCTCCCTGAGGACACCAGGCACACACATGCCCAAGATCCAGGGCTGGCTGAAGATGAGGTGGATTGTGGCATCGGGACCATATTGGTGGTGCTGTCTCTGTGTCACTTATGGGAGAAATAAATTAATTTAAATGTGTTTATATACACACATATATACATGATTAGTTACTTTAAAAAACTGTGGCCTAAAGAGGTGAGTGTTTCTTTATAAAGTGCCCAGATCCAGAGATCAAGCTGGGCTAGAAGAGCTTCACGAGGCCTAGGCCACGACTGCAAAAAGGCAGTTGGCACACACACAGGGTCGACACTTACAGGGGAACAGGCCTGAAAAAGGGAGGCCTCAAAATTCCGGAGATGACTCCCACCTTCAGTAGTTTCTTTTCAGAAAACTTGACTCCCAAGAACACTGAGATAGTGAAATTGTAGACGATATCCAGGCACATAGCAAAGCCATAATTATCTTAAATGAGGGACACTTTCTGAGCTAAGGACCAAGGTGAGTCAGGGGCACATGCTGGAAGCGAAGGGTGAATTCTGGAGTCCAGTCTGATGTGTCAACAAGGAAACCACTTTGCCTGACTACAGGTTATTCAGAAGAGCTACAAAGCAGGGGATAGATGATACTTTCAGCTGAAAATGATCTGCTCTATAAACCTAGCAGACATTAATATAAAATGCTGCAGAACTCAACAACATCATCAAAGAGCAGCACTCATAGGCCCATACTTCTGTCAAGACTCACAACCAAATGTCAAAGGACAACAGGCTCCACGTGCATCCTTCGTTCAAAGGAAAGACCGTCCCAGTTCCCCAGGGGGCGAGTTCCATTACCATCCAGATTTTGGTGGCACGGCTCATCTTGCCATGCTCGGTGAACATCCAGCCGTGGTAGGAGAGGAGCACCTTTAGGGAGTAGCGCATGCTGATGATGAGCGCCACCCAGAGGCCCGTGCCAAACAGGATGCCGCTGACCACGTTCTTGGTCTGGCTGGACATGTAGCCGCTGCGGAGACAAATGAGAGGAGTCACACTGAGTCCATGGGGAAGGGAGGCACCGCGTGCTCCAGGGCAGAGCACCCTTCTGCAGACAGAGCTGAGCCAAAGCAGCCCCTAGGTCAGGGATGGGACTGAGCAGGGGGGGGAGCACCCATAGTAATCCAACTGTCCAGATTCCTGGCATTTTCCTCCCTGCCACGAAACGAACCAGACAGCGGCACTGTAGTAACAACGCTCTCTGAGGCTAAGCCATGTGGCAAGGTTCTGTGTTTGTATACAGAGGCCTCCGTGGACATGCCAGGTGCATTTCGACCATGATCCTTGGCAGGCTGAAGCTGTGGATGGATCACTGCATCGAGGCCCTGTTGGAGTTGCCTGTGTCTGTCTGCTTCTGTCTCTGTCTCTCTCCCATGGGAGAAATACTTTTTAAAAAATGTTGAAAATGAACCAGCACAGGTGAGCTATGGAGGCACAAGCAGTAGCACACCATTTTGCAGTGCTAGAGCCACACGGCTAGTCAGGGAGGACCTGGTGTCCCTCCTGCAGGACCTGAAACACACAGAGCAAACATGTGCCCATGATGCCGGCTGATAGGAAGGCTGAAGGAAGAGATTACAGTGATGAGATCCTGTGGTGGGTTCTCCTCTCTCTTTCTCAAGAGACAAGATAAAATAATAGGGCCTGCTGGTGGTGTGATGGTTGGGTTGCTGGACTCCCACGCGGCTGACCGTGGTTTGAGTCTCAGACTTGATGGCTTGCTTTCTCACTTTCTCTCTCTCTCTCTCTGGTGAGTCCAAGTGCCCTGTAGCAAATGAAATAATAATTATAGTGACAAATAAATAATTATTTTTCAAAAAGAACTTGTCCACTTAAAAAAACAATAAAATGATAAAAAATGAACCAGCCTAATCTGCCACAGTGGGCCTCAAAACAGAGGCTAATTTGCATAATCTGGAAAAACACACGATTTCTTCCAGATCGAGGGACAAAGGGCAGAGAGGAATGGTATGAAGCTGAGCCCTGACCCTGGTGAAAACCACACCCAGGTTGCTCTCACCCCCGCTGGTGCTCACAGACTTTCCATGTCATTTCCTTCTGCTTGTCATGATGTCTATCCCCAAAAAACACACTTGAATTTTCCATTACTCATAAACTGAAATCATTGGTCAGAACTATTACCTGAACTATGAGGTCATCAGGAAAATCACGATGCATTTTTCTATGATTTAAAAAAAATTTTTTTTTGGAGAGGTTTTTGCTATAGGACATGTGTGCTTGCCAGAGAAAGAGAGATAGAGAGACAGAAAGCAAGAAATTACCCCCCAGGGGGGATGGCCATGCCGCAATCCCTTCTCCTCCATTCTCCTCTCAGGATCTTAGGCATGCACACACAAGTGCCCGGTGTGAGTATAAGTCACCAGGTCCAGGATTCGAACTGCAGTCAACTACATGAGGGAGTCCAGCAACACAGCCATTACGCCAACTGCTGGTCCCTCTATGATTTTTTTTAATGCAAAAAATGTATGACTTTCCTGATGACCCATTTATATCAAATGGACTTTTTTATTTTTTTTACTAGACAGGAATACTTATGGCCAACAAATGAAGAAACTGATATGCAGAATGATAATTTAAACAATAGATAAGGCCAGTTCTGTGGCCTGGTGGTTGAGGTAGCTGAATCCTACACAGTAACCTCGGTTTGAATCTCAGCCCCAATGGCTTGAAAAAGCATGCTGGGGGCACCAGCAGTTAGCATAATAGCTATGTTGCTGGACTCCCATGTGGCTGTCCACAGTTTGAGTCCTGGACCTAGTGGCTTAAACTCATGCCGGGCGCGTGTGCGTGCATGCCCAAGATCCCAAGAGGAGAATGGAGGAGAAGGGATTGCGGTGTGGCCATCCCCCTGGGGGGGGTGTGCAGATTTCTTGCTTCCTTTCTCTCTCTCTCTGTCTTTCTGGCGAGTGCATGCATCCTATAGCAAAAACCTCTCCAAAAGTAAAAGAACAAGTATGCTGGGCACATGAGCCTGTGAGCCCAAAGTCCTGACAGGATGGGAAAATGAAGGAGAAGAGATTGCGGGAAGACCACACCTCAATGAGGGTGCTTTCTCCCTGTAGCTAGAATGTGCATCCTCTGGCAAATTAAAAGGTAATAATAAAACTAGTGGCATGATGGTTAGAGCAGCTAGATCCCACATGGCCAACTGAGTAGTTCAAATACTGGACCTGGGAGTTTGAGAACCATGCCAGGCATGTGTGAATGTGTGCATAAAACCCTCAAGAAAGGGAGAAACAGAGGAGAAGGGTCTGTGGCACAACCATTCCCCACAAGGGATGCTTTCTGGCTTTTCCTTTCTCTGTCTCTCTCTGGCAAGTGCACACACTCCCCAGCAAAATTTAAAAAATAAGTAAAGACAGAAAATGTTATAATTTGCTATAGAAAAATTACATTTTAGGGATAAAAATGAATTTTTTTTTTGAGATTTTTTTGCTATAGGGCAATGTGCACTCACCAAAGACAGAGAGTGACAGAGGAAGTGAGAAATCAACCCCGAGGGGAGATGACCACGCCTCAATCCCTTCTCCTCCATTCTCTTCTTGGGATTTTGGGCACAAATGCACACACACTTGGCATGAGTTTCGAGTCACTGGGTCCAGGCCTTGAGGTGCAGTCGACTGCATGGGAGTCTAGCGATGTAACCATTACACCATTTGCTGGTCTGAAGCAGGTGATTTTTGGTTTAATTACTTTGGAAACGACAAACTATTTAAAAAATAAAAACTAGGGGCCAGCTGATGGCATGATGGTTAAGGACGCTGGACTCCCACATGGCTGACTGTGGCTCAAGTCCCAGACCTGACAGCTTGCTTTCTCATTCTCTCTCTCTTTCTCACACATACACACACGTGCACACGCACACACACACACACTCTGTCCCTCTCTGGTCTAATTAAAAATAAAGAAAGAAATAAAAGAAATTAAATAATTCTTCTAGGACCAGCAGTTGGTGTGATGGCTATGTCACTGGACTCTCATGTAGTCGACCATAGTTTAAGTCCCAGACCCAGTGGCTTAAA